ATTTGTAACCCAAACAGGACTTCAGGTATGCTTTCAAATTATTATTTTTAATAAAGAATTAAGAAGGTGGAACTACAGGCTTTGATCTCAAAATCCAATTCAATACATAATCCTTATTGTGGATTGAATTATTGTTAGGATTATGTTTGGGAATTCCTAGTATGATTAATCATCCAATACATAATACTACCAATACCACAAAGAACAGCAAGAAGCTGTGTACCTTGTTAACGGTTATTGAAAAGCTATCTTTGAAAATTGCTTCAACGTATTCTGTTTTATAACTGGTTGGACGTAGCTTATGGTCTGTCTTAAGGCATTTCTTGCCTTTCCCCACTATCTAAATGAATTCGTCAAATGAGGAAACATTTAGAGGAAATATATTTTCGATCCATCCAGTGTCTAATGGCTTCATTCAGTTTAATATCGCAGGGAGTTGGAGGCTGTTCTGAAAATCGGTAGACGCAAGGCCAGATACACCTGGGGCGGTATGCTTGTCTATCACCCACAGACACAGTTACAGTATGCACAAATGATCAGCCCTGTTACCACTGAGAATTGTGTTTTACCAATAAAACCTAATTTGGGTTGATAGTGTTATACAGCAGCCTGCTCTATGGATGCAGTAAGTATATTCCATTAGACATCACTCAAACAACTGTTAGAGTTGAAGTGCAAGTGTTGTGCCAGGGTGAGCTAGTGCTCATAGCCCAAGCCAAGACAAGGAGAACAAACAAACTCCACACAGACAGCACCCGAGGTTAGCAGGGCCCCAGCGCTACAAGGAGGCTATGCAGCCTTGCTAACCACTGTGCCACCATGCCACAGTGAAAAAGATACCGTGTTTTTTGTTCAAAAATAACCTTGCCTTTGGGAAGTTTTCTGTCCTTGTCCTTAAAGGCTGGAAATCTTAAATTACTTAAGAAACACTGTATTTAAAAGGCAATATCCTTTGTGTTTTAAAAAAATAAAAACAATTTAAAAAGTTCAAGTTACACCTATTATTAGGTGTATTAAGCTTCAACCAAAAGCTGTGGTGGAACAAAAACTAGCAGATAGGTGGGTTATCAGGATTGAGAACCCCTGCCTTAAGTCTTGTTCGATAAAATACTTGGTAATTTCCACTGTGATGTAACAATATCTGTTCTGGACAGGCACATCAAGGTTAGAAAGCAGAACTGAATGATTGCGATGGCCTGCAGTAAAGAGTTAGAGAGGCAGATGCTTGGGTTTGAAATGTGTGATGTACGGGGATTTTAATTAAGTTGTCAGTCAGTCTTGTACAAAGTTTGCACACCCATTGAAAAAACCTATTTTAAAATAATTAGAGCATGTTACTCAGAGGCTTTATAAAAAGGTTAAAACTTTCCATGACCCACATGAGGCAAAGTTTTCTTGCCAGCCTACGGCATTTCCAACGACGATATGTAAAACCCAGTGCGGTGATTAGCTTTGCTGCCCTGGGTTCGTTTCTAGACCTGCAGTGCTACAGAATGTTCTCCCTGTGTTCGTGTGGGTTTCCTCCGAGAGCTCCGGTTTCCTCTCGGAATCCAAAGACATGCTAGTAGGTTAACTGGCTTCTGGGAACATTGTGTGTCCGCAGCGGACTGGCTTCCTGTCCAGATATCCTTTTGCCTCTGGAGCCTGCAGCCCTAAATTGGATGAAGCAGCTAGAAAATGAATGAATGGATGGATGGAGGTGCTCTTGTAACTGCTTTCCCTTTTCCCACGTCATCCCGCAGGTTCCACCACCCGATATTGAGCCCTCTGGAGAGCAGTTTCCAGGTGGAGGTGGACGTGCTGACCCAGCTGCTGAAGTGCCAGGCGGAGATCTCCGAGTGGAAGTTCCTGCCCTCCCTGCTCAACCTGCACTCGGCCCACTCCAAGCTGCAGAGCTGGGGCCTGGTCTTCGAAAAGCAGCGGGAGACCCGGAAGCACCTGTTCGGGGGGCAGGTGCAGAAGACCGTGCAGCCCCCCCACCTCTACCTGTGGCTCCTGAAGCTGAAAAACGGCCTGCTGGCCAAGTTCAGCTTCTACTTCCACGAGGCCCTGAGCCGCCAGACCACCCTGTCGGAGATGAAGGCGCTGACGGCCAAGACCAGCCCGGACTACTTCGGCAAGATCTCCGGCTTCATCCGCAAGTACGACGCCATCAACGTGTCGCTCATCTTTGACAACCGGGGCTCGGAGAGCTTCCAGGGCCATGGGTATCACCACCCACATTCGTACAGGGAAGCCCCCAAGGGTGTGGACCAGTACCCGGCCGTGGTGTCTCTGCCCAGCGACCGGCCCGTCACGCACTGGCCCAACGTCATTATGATCATGAGCAACCGAGCCACCGACCTGAACACGCTGGACAAGGTGGTGCATTTCTACGACGACAAGGTTCAGAGCACCTACTTCCTGACGCGGCCAGAGCCCCATTTCACCATTATCGTCATCTTCGACTCCAAAAAGTCTGAGAAAGACTCCCACTTAGTCTCCTTCCTGCAAGAGCTCTCTAGCTCCCTGAAGAACTCCAAACCCTTCGCAAGTTTAAAACCAGGGTCAAAGGGCTAACTTGCAATGGTGTCAGAGAACATGGCTGCTGTTGGTCCTGTGATGTGTTCTTTACACTTGGAAATAAGTTATGAGAACATTGCAGTTCCTATGAGCCTAATAGATTGCTCTTAATATCATTTTGATCTTTGACTTTGATTTTCCTGTCTCAGAACTCAGACGTTTCCTTAAGCTAACAAGTGTGACGATAGAGCTGATTTTCAGGTTCAAAATCACATTTAGGGCATGGTGATGCATTGTAGAATGGGGTTTATTGTAAGAAAGCCAAATAAAGTTCAAACTTTAAAAAGCAATGCGGGGTCATTTAGGGCTTTGGAACGCCACAGGAATTAGAAAACAATCCACAATCGCAGGTTGGGCTTAACCTTCAGAGAAGCTTCTGCACAGAGCAAGAGAGGAGATGAAGCCATCATTTGGTTTAAAATATTTGGTTATTTCACTGAAGGATGATGACTGTGGAGGGTTGGTGACTGAAACAATAAGTATGTCGTAGACAGAGAACCAGTTTTCCAAAGAGACCTAGCAGAGTGCATTTATGCAATGTATGATCTTATTTGTTGATAATATGCAGCAAATCTTTTTCAGTGTCTTGTATCTCTTAGTAGAAGACTAATTGTGAATGCATTTCTTTCCCACACACATTTGCTTGTATATCTATATCAGACCAAGTTGTCTTTACTTCATTTTTTTGTATAGGGTTAATAGGCCTATGTACATTATACATTTGTAAAGTGTAAATTAAAATAAAGGTTACAAAATTACCTCCTTGCAACATTTTTAATTAATTCAAAATCTGTTTTATGTGAGAATATAGCAGTGAAAGCAAAACACAAATCTAGTGCATTTTAAAACTTCCATGTTTCACTTCAGTTAGCATTTAATAGTTTTAGATAAATCCATCCATTTTCTAACTACATTATCTAATACAGGATCATAGCTGTGCTAGGGCCCCATGCTGGCAAGTAGCAAGCACAAGACAGGATACATCCTGGATGGGATGCCAGTCCATCACAGGACAGACAGACACACACACACACACCAAGGCTAGTTTTCCCAGAAGCCACTTATCCTACCAGTATGTCTTTGGTCTGTGGGAGGAAACCGGAGCACCCAGAGGAAACCCATATGAACAGGAGGAGACCATACAAACTCCACACAGATAGAACCCCAGGAATTAAGCCCATGGCCCCATTAAAAAGACTTATTTCAGACCAAGCCATTTAAGTTGTTTAGCACCTTATACAAGCTTGTAGATGGTGCTGTAGTTTAGCTTGTTTTCATTGTCATCTTGAATGGGGAAGGACATGAATAAAGAAAGAAATGATTTACAGTGTAAAAAATGACATTTTAATAGCTTGTTAAAGAAGCTTTAACTGGATCATAAATGGGATAAGCAGGATATTGATTTGTAAAAGGAAATGCCTTTTTTAACCAGTTTTAAAAGCTCATATACAGTCTTTATCCCCATACCATTTGGAAAAATCCTTGATGAAAACCCATTTGCCTGAACCTGGAATAGAATGGGAGCAGTTGTCTGAAATTCACACAGCCTGTACACGTGAGGTCTGACTGAGAATTTAATACTGCATGTCAGTTAAAAGCATCTCACTGCAAAAAAAATGTTCTCCAAACTCTTACATATTTAATATAGGTATCTTGTTCCACTGAAGTTGTTCTTCCTAGGCAATATCCTATTTTTATCTTTTTTCTTTTCACACTCACTTGGAGTGTTTTGACGACTTTCCAGTATAAACTCAATACAATTTAGATTAGATTAAATTAGACTTTTCAGAACGTTTCTGAGTTTAGGTGGGGATCAGGAAGTGGTTGTTTGAAAACTTTGACTACCTGACCTTAAGGAATTTGCAGTCTTGTACTGCATACATTTTGGAACATGTGGAACATTTCTGGTACAGTACATTTTGGAAAGGTGCTTGTTTAGAATTCTGCATTTTTAAAATAGCAGTATAATTTATTTTCCTTCACAATTCTTGTCATTTTAGGAAAGTAGATGTATGTTTTATTTTTATTTTTAAAGCTTCATTTAGTTCGCATTGCACAGTTTGCATTGCTTATAACGGATTCTAGAGTTCATTTTAAATACATTTTCCCAAGAATGCAAAAATACCTCAGTAAGGTTAAACTGTACAATATACTAATAAGTAAGTGAAATGCTGAACGTATTCACAGCTTTGAACCTTATATCTCATTACAATTAGATTTAGGTGGTGAGAGACTGAAAACCAATATACCACACAATGGAACATTGGAAATGATGTAGAACTGCCATTTGATGATTAAATTAATTCAGAGATCACCCGGGCAGACTTAATGAAGATCATTTCAGAAGAGATTTTTTTTATGGGTGTCACTATTTCTTCTGTCTTTCAGATCGTATCACTATTTTCTTGCATAATATAAAAAATCATTCAACTTTAATAGTATTACTGTTAAAGCTGGAATATGAAATGGAGCTGAATGCTGACAACCAAAGCTCGTGCTGCATGTGTACTGCTTTGTCTGACATTCTGGATCTTTAAATATTGCTACTTTAGAAAGCAAACTATATTTCAGCCCCAAGAAGCTCAGTCAGAATTAAGGATGAGATTTTTACCCATTGCTTTTTTATCATTTTGAGTTGTGGCCTTATCTGAATGATCTGAATAGGCTGTAAAATTGGCTGGTCATTTTTGATCCTGTTCACAAACCTGAGGTGTTTGTAAACTATTCTCTACCAGTTCTTCCCACAGCTTGACAGTGACAATAACTGGACAAAATAAAGATAAGGGAAAAAAAACCCACAGATAAATCTTCACTTCTGTAAAGAAACGCAGCTAGCATGCACTAGCAAACAAAACCACGTGGATAAATATATTAAAAAGATATGTACAGTATGCTGGTAAAGAGAGCTGGAAACAGCAGCCATTGAATGCAGCAGTCTTCACATTCTTTGTGTCTGTCATCTGAAAAGACTGGTAATCACAACAGCCAAGAGCAAGTTCCATTAATTGAGCTCCTTTTAGACGAAAGCATATTCTTTGTATTTTTCTGTCTCCTGAGTTGGCCGGTCGTGGCTTTGTGCCCAAAGGTACCATTACTTTGATTACAAGCATTACCTATTTGTATTTTTGTCCTTGTGTCTTAGAAAGTGACTTCTCCATTCATCCATTTTTTAACTGTTTCTTCCAATTCAGGGTAGTGGGGGAGCCAGAGCCTATCCCAGCAAGCCATGGGCACAAGGCAGGGTACATGCTGGCCTGTCCATCACAGGGCAGACAGACATACACCAAAATGGAACTGAAGTCAGCACTACGAACCTTTTGTTTAAATCTTTGATTTAAACAAGCGTTAATTTAGTAGACATTTGTATCCCAAGCAACTTCTTGTAATCACAATTCGAATGCTAAGGTATAAACAATTACCAGTAATGTAATAAAGCTAATGTTGCAGCATACTGAAACCAAAAGTAGTTTATACATATGTGTGTGTAATCTAAAGTAATAGTTCATGACCAATATAAAAAATTACATAAGGTACTGCATGCTGAAATACAGTAGTCTGGCCTACAGAAATAAAGCTTGCCATTTTTATGGGTTTGATCCAATCATTATTTAATGACACCTATTTTTAGTCTTTCCCCAGGGGTACTGAGCAGTGCTGGTACATTTTGTACAATAAATGTCTCAAGGGTCAGCAGTAAGTACAGTACTTACACATCTTTTGAATTAATATTACATTTGCAATATTGTCAACAGCCCCTTCAGACACCTCCACTTTGACATTGAAGTATATAAAGTTACATAATTCCCAAGTGGTAAATTTTGGAGTTTGTTGTGCACTTTTCCCCATATACAGTAAAAGTAGTTTTTAGTGTAGCGTTTTAAATAAAGGTAAGAATATATATTACTATGCTAGGTATTTTTAGAGAAATAAAAGATAAGATACAGAAAAATACATTTCTGATATTGAATGGTTTTAGTGTCAGTTTGATTAACCAATTATACATGACTGACCATGGCTTCAGAGATTTCGACTTGCATAAATGCAAAAATAAACTCATTAGTGAAAGAGTTGATTGGCCACAAGTGATGAGGTGATTTGACCTGTTTTCTATCAAGCCTGGTGGAAATCAAGAAGTAAAAGGCACAGAGGTACCAATTTGTCCCACTTACCTAAAGAACATTGCCACTGGTATGTTTAAAACTGGACTAAATCGGCACACTGTGGCTCAACGTCACAATTTCAAATGTAGCAAAGCCTTGACTGTCAACAGAATACTGACAGTGATCTCCAAGCCTGAAGGAGAGGTTTAGTTTCTACAGAACCCGACCTACAGGACTGATGGCAGCCTGGGCGTATAACTCTTCAGTGATCAATTCTAGGACTTCATTAACTACCCACCCTGACCTCACAACATTCCATAAGAACAAATGTTTTCATTCTACTTGTGTAACAATGGCTCTCTCTCTCTCTCTGGAGATGAAGACATGATACAGTTATGACATAAATGTCCTACTCTCTGGATCTGAGTCACCTTGAGTATTTATGAGATGAGCTGGAATAAGGGATCAGAGACCAGTGTCTTATGGGACAGAAACCCATAAGACAGCATCTGTAACATGTTACAAAGCATGTACAGCAGATGTACAGTTTTGTATGACTTCTAACAGTGGCCAAACAGGCTTCTAGCCTGTAACTTTCACGGTAAACCCTGTTCATGAAGCTGATTTAATGTCAAATGTTAACCAGCATAGATGAATTTACAGGTGACATTCAATAAAAAGTTATTGCATAGACAGTAATTTCCCTAAAAGCTTTGTGAATCTGATAATATATAGTAAGTATAAGTGATACAGTATGTTTGGTTTGTAGCTCTGCGTAATATCTTTAAAGAAATATGGAATTGCAGTCACATTTTTCAATGTAGCATCAGCCTGTCATTTATTTAGCAGTTTTTTTTTCTAAGAAGGAAGATTCAGGCCAGATCTTTATACTCATAAAGCAGTATCTTAGATTTAAATCAAGGGTAGTACAAAATAAGGTCAGGATAAATGGAACATCATTTTTACTGGAATGCTATCCATATAGTCTGTACACACCATTTCTGTTGTGTAAGCAGAAATACAATCTATTTGTGTAAACTAGACGCCTCCTGAAATGTTGAAGCTTACAATTAACGTAGAGCAACCAAGGGACTTAAAAGTGTCTAAAAATATCAAATGAGAAAGATAAGGGCAAGGGAAGTCATGTACATCTCAGTGCTTATTGCCAGGCAACGATTCATCAGTTCATATCCTCAGATAACAGATCTGATGCCTGCATTAAAATGAGATCAGATTGTGGGGATATATTTCAAGGCAATGTTTTAATAAGGAACAGTCATGTGTTTAAGCTGTCAGACAAAAGTCCGGATCACGTTGCCTGCATTTTATATCTCTGTTGGATAGCTAAACCTTCTTCATACACCAGCGAGATTAAAACATTTGTATAAATCTGCTAGAATTTGTATAAATTACTACTAGAGTTTTGTAGTAATGATAATGTAACATTTTTTATTAGGAAAAATATAGGACTCTGGCACCACATGCCTTATGTGTTTGAAAATTCTAGATGAAATCAAATTCAGTTCCTGCAAAATTCTGGTTTCTTTTTTATTTCATTTCACTCACTCCGAGTGTGAGTTGTTACAGTATTTATAAGTACTGTATTTTGAAGTTGGAAGCACCTGATCTGGCCTGTCTCTTTCTTGCACAAGAATTTAAATCTGACACTTCTGGAGCATCAAAGCAAAACCTACTGTCCGTCTAACACAATTTCCTCATTATTAATAGTAAGATTATAAATATATGTCTTGTGACTGCTTATTTTGATTATGTACAACTTGCTGAGTGGATGAAAGGCTGCAAGCACCTGTTTCGTCTAGCTTAGCAAGAGCTTGAAGATGTTAAAACATACCTTATGATTTTCAATATATCATACCTGGGTGGTAAGGTGTCACAGTGCTTGGGGTCCACGATTTCAGTTCCTGGAAAGTTATCTTCATGGACTTTGTAATTTCCTCTCCCAGTCCAGAAAACATACTGTACTGGTAGGTTAATTGGCTTCTGGGAGAACTGGCTCTGATAAGAGTAGCTGTCTTCCCTGTGATAGACTGGCATCCAATACAGGGTGAATTCTGCCTTGTGCCTATTGCCATGATAGGCTCTTGTTCCCCCTCAACTCTGTTTTGGATGGTGGTTACCAGATTTATCACATAATTTGTGCAGTTGTACTATTTTAAATGACATAGCCATAGCATATTATATGTGATTAAAGGCAGTTTCAGTTGGCCAATATAATCAGATAATACATCACATGGTGTGCCGTAAAACTGTGAATTACTTTGTATTTCAACAAGAGCACAACTTTACTGTAGGCATCATGCATATTATTGCAGGTTTTAAACGGGAACTTGGACCCACAATTTAAAAAAGTTTTTAATCAATAAGTGTACCAGTACTTCTATCTTCCACATCATTAGAAAACGGTTTGCAGATCCCACAGTCCTTTGCTATCAAAAAATTACATGACACCATTCTGTTCATTTATTTGCTAATCCCATTCCAAAAACTTGCAACATTTCATGTTGTAGAACACTATTTTCAATGATGTAAAAAATAGTTTTGAGAGGTGTCATTGCTCAATGACATTAAACTGGCTCTGACTACTGCTTCAGTCTGAATAATACGTAATGTAAACCAAATTGGATGTTGTACAACAAATTGTACAAACAGTTGCTTCATAAGCATTTTTTTTGTGTTCCTGGCAACACAGAAGATCATAGCAAAGCCATTCTGGCACCAGTTAGCTCCTGTTTTGACAGTGTCTTCATTCAATTAATAATGCAAAATGCTGGACAAAAATTAAAGGTGCTAAAGTCCATTAAATACAAATAGTATAAAAAAATGTTCACATTTGCAACTGGTTTACGGTACTTGTCACTAGTTTTCATATTCCTTTAAAAAATGTAAATACAATGCCTAATTAGGGGTTCTACAGTTAGTAAGGTGATTCTGTGTCAATAATAAACGTGGTAATAATCTGAGAGAGGTGATTATGGCTTAAAAATGAAAAGCCATTACTTATCTCGTCCTTTTCTGGACTGTATTTGAAGATTTTTTACTTTTCAAGAATCATTCAGTGGTGCAATGGTAAGCATTGCTGCCTTGCAGTGTTGGGGGACCTGGGTTTAATGATTGACTGTGGTGCTGTCTGTGTGGAGTTTGCATGTTCACCCCAGGTTTGTGTGGATTTCCACTGGGTGCTCCAGTTTCCTTTCATGGTCCAAAAACATACTGATAGGTCAATTGGCTAATGGGAAAACGTGCTCTGGTGTTAGGTGTGTGTGTGTGTGTCTGGGTTGTTTGTCTGCCCTGTGATAGACACCAGGATAATCTTTATCTCCCTCACAACCCTGAATTACATTAAGTGGTCAGAAAATAGATGGATGGCTCATTCAGTTTCTTTGTGGGTTTTTTTGCACAACAGAAATACAGCTGTTCATGACGTATTTTGTGTAATCTTGTAATGAAGAATTTTCAAAAATACTTACCCTTGGTTTCTCTTGTTATCTGTAACAGAACTTGACAATTGGAACAGGACCAGAACCCACAACAAACTAGTGCTGGCACTATACGGGGATGAAACAGAATCCTCCTAGACGACATACTCTGATCATCTCAGTAAACACGTATTGGACCCTTGTGAGGTAAACATGATTTCTACCCATCTCAGTCTTCAAATCGGTTGTTCAACAATGCTTGGACATGAAGTGAATGCAGTGGACCCTGAAAACCATTTCCTCTGGATTGGAGTGCTGAAAACAGTGCCTGAGGGTTATGTGATTTTCTCTGATTAACATCTTAGGCCTTAATTACTTAATTGAGCACATCATTTAAATCAGAAATTAAACCAACTGCCTGACTAACCTGACTTTTGAGGAGTGTAATGACACATTCCAAGCCTACAATGTAAAAAAGAGTAAAATAATTTTTGCAACAAAACAGCTGTACCAAATTGGGGAAATATTATGGCCCTTAATAGTTTTCTTTTGTTTAGTCATATTAAAACCCATACTCTCCGTGTATTTTTACTCAAATTCATAACCCGGATTGCTGCTTTCAGACTTTTGGCTGCATCTATGCATACTAATGTTACTAATCCATCTACAAGTGTGTCTTACCAGTTCCCGAGCAGTGCATTTGTCTTCTAGTATTAGGCTCCTACAGTTGATAAGAGTTAAAAAAGAAAACTCAACTCATGCTGACAGAACTATTTTCTTTATTAGAAAGATCCACTAAGAGGAACAACCCTGAAAGTGTACTGAAACGTTTTAATGCTACATGCCGAACTCTACAGTCCTCTACCATAGAAGTGCAATGTCACAATGGATTAGCTGTATTTTTCCAGAACTGTATTTTTTTCCTACTGTACTTGCTCATCTGTGTAGGGGTTGAAATGAAAATCCAACAGTACAGAACAAGTTTGAAGTTCCTCTAAAACTTTTAAAGGCACTTTCACATGTACATACTACAGATGTACATTGACACAATAAATTAACAGTCAACAAGCAGGAAACCTAGCACGGATAGCCGAAGAGCAACACTGATTTTATGAGGTTTGTGTAGGAGACACTATAGACTGGGCTCTGTCGAAAACATATTTTGCTTCTATTTGCAATCAACTGTTTTTTCCCCCTTTTTTAGAAAAAAAAAGTTTGAATTTAACTTTTTTTTTTGTAGACGCTGTTCACTGAAGAGAAGAAAAAACAGCTTATTGCAAACAGGAGGATGATTCTTTTACAAATATCCTTAATAGTATTACTTGTCTTTAAAGGCTCACCATTTAATTAACTAATGTTAATTTTAAACATACTGTACACAAAACCATCACACTATTATATAGTATAATTACAGGAATGCACCTCATGGTCATTCATTATAAAGAATTGAAGAATTCATTATAATTAGAAACCTCTCTCTTTGTGAAGTCACATCTGGCATTTAAAAAGAAAACCACAGACTTTTAACTTTAAAGAGGTGGGACCCGCTCACACAAGATCACACAAACCTATTAAACCCTCCTTATAGACAATTTGAGCCTAGTTTCTCATGCATGTGCTCCAGTTGCTTTGCTTCAGTCTTGTTTGGAAAACAGATCATGTAAATTATTTAAGAGGGGTTTTTATCAATTTACATTAAAACCATGTTCACACAGGATGCTTCAAGTCAGCGGCTCTGTGCAGATAACTGTCGTAAAATCTGTTATGCATGGCAGAGCAAAATTGACAACTGTTTGTACCCATGATGGCTTGCATGTATGGAAAAAGTCATGGTACACAGCTGCATCAATCTGTCCAAGTCCATGATCATTGTATGCAAGGACACAGTCCCATATGTAGGTGCACCAAATGTCCAATACTGAACTGCGCCCTGTGTTCACAGTAGTTATTTGAAAACGCCAGTTAACCTAAAAAAATTCAGATATATTTACATTTATGGGCAATTAGGTACAACATAACTTTTGTCATCCTTTCTGTTAAACTTCAGAGACCGCGGTCACTACAAACAAGGTCAGTTGGCTGAACTCTTTAGAGCAGGGGTCTCCAAACCTGTTCCTGCAGAGTCCCAATCCAGTCAGCCTTACAAATCACCAGTTGTTCACCAGTAAAGATCAGGAATGCTTTGAGATGCTGGTCAATCAAGCATGTAATTTGTTCAGTTAAAGGAAGTTTCGTTCTTAAGGGTTGTAGGCTGTCAGACATTTGTTCCAGATGATCTCTAAATTACTTCATTTAATAAATCACCCGTTTAATATATCACAGTAAAACTGTTTAAAGATCTTTAGAAATCAATGATTTAGAGGTTACACATAAAACCAGCTGGACTGGAGCTCTCTGAGATTATGGTCAGAGACAGCTGCTTTAATAATTTTAGCATAAATGGTAAATAAAGCATAGTGTTAGGTTACCATAAACCAGTTGAACAAATTTGATTCCTGTTGGTTTACCGTCTTTGCCGATTTACACTTGAGGTTTTACAGTCTGCATTCCCCCGATGAAGCAAAAACAAACAAAAAGCTCAAACATTTGCTTAGAAAATGAACTGTCCACTTACTACTGTGTGAATCTACTCAAAATCAAGTTCCACTCCAGCAATGTGAAAAACCAAGACCAGTTACTGCACGAGAGCGTGTCGGTTGTAAAATGTGAAATGGCTTGGGCAGCAGTTAACCTGTCTCACTGCTGCTACGAGTACAAAACACATCCAAGAGAAACTAAAGCAGGGATTAAACAATTAAAATAAGAACCCTTCAAAAGCAGCCACTGTCAGCTGTGGCCTTTTATGTGATGGTGGAGTAAAGATAAATCACCAGTAACAGTCAAAAAGCCATTGGCTACTAGATTTATTACTTTATTTCAGTGAACACTATAACACTGTTAGAACTAATAGGGAGACGGCTCTGAACAAGTCTTGTAAAACCACAGAACTACAGGTAGGTAGGTGCAAATGAAAACAAATGGATTGTAAAACTCGGCTGGGAGGGTGGGGTGTATCTTTGGGTGAAAAGAGTTTGTTTTTTTTCCGTTGCTTCACGTGAACGTAACTTTGAAAGGCATCCTTCTTTGTGTATCATCAGGCCCTGACAGGCCTTTTCTGTGTATCCTGCCCCAAACAAGGGGGAGAAACACTTTGTGGTGTTTCAAATGAACCCTGGAAAGGCTCTCTTTTTTTTACCTGAACATGTCAGGCCAGGTCCCAGTTGAAACACCCTTCTATCATTTGGAAGTGCTGTTGACCTCAAAAGGTAAACCTGGCAGTGGAAACCCAGACAAGTGTGTCTTAGTGTGTAGCCCAGTGTTGGAATGATGTGAGGCCAGGCAGGAATTCACACCAGGAGCCACAAGAGACAGTATTCAAATTCTACACTCTCTGTCCTGGCTGCTTCTATATCAATATGTACTGTATAATGAGACAGCACTAAACATTCACCACATCAAATCCTTCTAGGAGCTATTGTGAACCTCAAATGGCAGGTCTTACTGTAAATCAAAAGGCCACTTACTGTAGATATATCTATCCTGATAACAAGAGTCAGAACAATACTTTTACTTTTCGCAAACAAATCCTTAGTGAAATTTTATAACTTTGTGATGTGTGTACTTTAAAGCCCCGGATTCAGAACAGAAAATATTTACATTTGTAGTAAGATATGCTTTGTAATAGCATTGCTGCCTTTCTGTAGGATACACACCCCTTGGAAGGTATTAGATAAATAATGTATGATCTTCTGCAGCTGTTGTTATTTGTGGTTTCAGGTTTTCCCGAGTAGAGCCTGTTTAAACCTGGATTGATCAGGTGTAAGATAACTTTAAAGTGCCTTCATGGAATGTTGACAACCCAGTGTTTTATTTACAATCAGCTGTACTAGAATCAAAAGCGTCCATTTTTTAAACTTCTCAGTTTAAGGTAATGCTTCTGGTGTGAAATTCCCCTTACATGTGAACTACTGTACCTGACAGGTGCACCTTCTGTTTCTTGGCCTTTGTAAACATCCTTTGGGAATACAGCAGCAGCTTAAAGGAGTGGTTATCAAGATTCACTCAGCAAAGGCAGAGCCCGTATCACTATGTGGCAGTAAGGCCAAGAACCTGTTACATAAAAATATGCTTAATGAACTGAGTGGATTCTAGCCTTGCTCAAATACTGACAAGACTTTGCTTTCCAGAGATCTCTGGCTATATTAGAAACTAACTCTACAAAACTGTTCTTATTCATCTGTTGTTTTTTTTGTTACATTTACACAGTCAACCATTTATATAAACTAAAGATCTGAAATAATTATTACCACACAGGAAGCCTTTGTGATTTGTGTTGCTTTTTCGAAATAAGTTTCCTTTACAATCTAGTGGTGCAGCATACACTGACTTAGTTTTGTTTCAAGTAACGCTAAATGCTTCTTTGTTTCACCTCAAAACGAACATTGAATGCACGGTAGTCCAGTTTTTACCAAGAAATGTAGAAATGCCCTTTTTTTTGTTAATAAATGCAACTATAACAGGAGACGTTAACTTCCTAAACACTGAAAGAGCACACACCCATTTTACAAACACAAAACTATCATTATTTAAATGTCCCTTTAAATTTGACCAAGCTATGGACTCTGAAGCTTTCTTGTTTACCTATTCATGTTCTACTGTATGTTAAGTATATCTCCTCTGGGCCTCGCGTGTTGGAGGTAGCAATCCAGTTCACATCGTGCAGGACTTGTCCACGGAGCCCTGGGCTGGCGGAGGGGGGGCCTGGCCAGGGCTGGTTTTGGGCAGGACGCTGGGTTTGGGGCGCAGGG